CTACAGCTAAACTTTATTCAACAGGCAGAACAAAGGCAACAATGGAGTATAAAGCAAATAGCCTTTACGAAAGTTCATTTAATTTTCAAGTCATAACAACATATATATGGGTGGTAATAATACATGTGAATATACACAGTTTATTTTTAGTAAGTGGACAATATTATTTATTAGCATTACCTAAATAATGCTGTGACCAGCTGTATTACTACCAATTAATAAAATTCAAGTTCCGTGTGAATCTATGTAGTAATTAATGGCATACAAGTTTTAGCTTAATGTTATGTTTATCCAATTTATTAGACTTAATGTAGCAGTTTAAAGGACATCCTCAAATGGGATTGATTACTTATACTAGACTGTATTAACATACAACCCTTTTTTCCCTAGCCAAATTAATTAGCTTTGAGACTTAAAAATATGTTTTCTTAAATACACATTAGTCTAATAAGAGGTTAAAACAATGTTGGGAATTTCATGCAGATTTCGGCTTTCATTTGGCTGACTAAAAAAAACGCTGCTCAACCTCACTTAAGGGATTTAGTTTAGAGATGCCTATTTCATTAAAATATTTAGAAACAGTCGAAGAAAACTCAAGTATCCTATAGTAATGAAAAATGCATTTGTCAAACCGATTTGTTTGAAGGTGGTTGCCACGCTGTTAGAAACAAGATCCACACTATTCTTTTAGAGATTTCCAAGGCAAGCTTGCATACTCTTAACTGCTAGGAAGAGCTAAAAATAAACTTGTGCTCCTTGTAAAATTTGTAATTTCTTCATTATGATGGAATGCAACAAAACATCTTGCCCTTGGGTTGCTCTGTTTCAGCCAAAACAAATGCAAATGGCTTGTCAGATGACAGCTGTTTGATAAGGCTCCTCTACAAGACCTGCATGCTTTACTTTTTTCCGTGAAACTTGGGATGAAAGGCAGAAGGCAGGAAGAGAATTAATGTAGCATACAGTCTAAAGGCAATGCTACAACCGTGATTAAGTAGAAAAGTTAAAAGGCACAGATTTTCCACAGCCTCGCTGCGTGCAACCCATCCGTGTAACAAGTTGACAGGCCTAGCGCGTCAGCTCCATCATCCTCTCCGACAGCTAAAACGCAGCATTGCATCCCTTTTCAGAGAAAATTTGCGTCTGCACCATGAAGCGTTGTACATTATTTCTTAGCACTGCAGGGGGCTCAAGTCCATATGGAACCTTCACAAATATTACCACAGATCAAACCAGCGGCGTTTCGAGGCAGATTTGACATACCTATTTAAATGAACAGCAGGGGTCCTCGGGCTGCCTCAGGCTGTGCAGGAGAAAACCTCTGTGGAAAGCCTATGCTGCAGCTCCATTACTCAGCAAAGACACACTCTACATTTATCATTCATTTCATTTCTGCCAGGGCATGAAGCTCATTTGCCCAAGGTCAACAACAAAAAAAAAAAAGGGGGGGGGGGGGGTGTTGTTTTTTATTCTCCCAAAGAAATAAATGTACCTGACAAGTGGGGATTTTGTCCTTTGGGTACACAGAACGCAAATAAATATCACATAATTCTAATAAAAACGCTACATTCAGTAAAGCTGTGCACCGAATTTCATAACACAAAATTTATTTTTTTGACAACAGGCTAACCACAGAACTAACTTTTTAAGCCTATCTAATGAGGAAACAAAATCTGATGCAATTGTCCAATTAAATATTTCTGCATACATTATTAATGCTTTTGTCTTCTGTAAGCACACGTAAGCAACATGCCCATCTTCCTATAAACTCTTCTGTAAGAGGTAGATAATGTTTGCGCCATTGATGGTCACAGATATGGCATTTCTGTTCATAATCCATGTTAAGACCCAGGGTCTAGTGATGTTCTACTAGGTACAGCTTTTTTCATAAACGTAAACAGATACAGATCCTTTACTCCTGGAACCACACAGAAAAAGCCTTAAGTTTGCATGAATGGAACAGTCTTAGAAAAATCAATTAAGCAGTTTAAATGCAAATTTTCTTCACACTAAATGTCAGCACAAATAACATTTCCTATAGCTTTGCCCTTCAGGGGGAAAAAAAAAACACCCTATTTTTTTTCTACAATTAATTTTCCTAGAACTAGCCAGATTTGTTGTATATGCATTCTCCACTACTAACCTTGTGCTACTAACCAGATACAGCCTACAAGAAAGTGTTCAGACTATTCAAACCTAGTCCATAGCCAAAACTGTAAAATAAACCAAAAATTAAAGCAAGAACTAGTATGCAGTCTGTTCTCTTAAATGTGACATTAAAATGCCCCTAATAATGGACATTGTGACATAAAAATATACATTGCATTTAGCTTCAGTGGTGATGATATGGCCTACTGTGAAAACATGAGTAAACTCAGGAGCTCCTGATAAGCATCTCTAGAACAACATGTACTTGACTGGGAGCTAACATCATTTATTACAGATTATAACATACTTACATGCATTAATGAATAATATGACTGCTTGCCCGTATAAAAGAGAAAGTGAAATGGTCGGCCATCTTCTCCCCACTGGATTTCTAATAAAAAGCAAGATTAGACAAGAAAGCAATACACACTCACTAAAAAACCCCTTGTACTTAATTGCAGTTATAAACCTCTTTCATAATACCGATTACCTTTTTAAATATCAGAGAACAAAGACATTTTATGGGTATTCAACCTGTCTGGAAATCTGATTTAGACTACCTTGGTAAAAACCGATCTCCACCTGCAATTATAACCAAATATTTAATATAATATTTCTAAATATCATTTAACATAAGGGAATCCCTCATGTACATCTTAAACTTTCGAAGACAGTATAGTTCGTATTACAGACAGAAGTATCCATTTTAGAATGGGAAGAAGTACAAATTAACAGACAACTGAAATCTACATAATGATTGTGAAAGGTGAAAGACTAACAGCTCTGGAAAACAGTACTTGAAACCCAGAGCAAGTTTTTTTTATTAGTATAATATGTCTAAATTTATCTAGGTATTTGTACAATTGCCTTTTGTTGGTAACACAACTGTATTTAGAACTTCAGTGATTTTAGGACTTGTTTGTGTTGATACATTTGGGATATTTATATACAAAGACCTATGTTATAGTTTACATAATTAGTTCAGCAAGAAAACATACACTCCATATAATTCAGCACATCCAGTTTATTTTATTAAGTAAAAAACGTTATTTAAGGCCAAATAAATTTCAGCTTCAGGAAAAAAAAAATCAAATTTAAATATAACATGACAAAGATCTTTTCCAAATAAAGGTAAGTGACAAAAATAAAAACCTGTGAGCTTTTTACAAATTGAACTGTAGAGAAACTCCCAACCATTTTATCCAGTGAAGTTCAAATGAGGCTACCTATAAGCTATAGACAAAGATAAGACTCCAAGAACCTGTCTGATAAGCACGATATGTATTGCATTGGAACATTAACACATAATACACAGAAGGGGGATGGAAAGATGCAAAATTTACTAGAACAGAAGGAACACAGAGGGCTTTTACCCACACATACTACTACTGGAATGTGTGAATTTCCATATATGCAGCTGTGAAAGCATGTTTTGTTGAAATTACTGTTCAGGGAACATTCTGAAGTATACATTTACATTTTTGCACTTCAAAGTTATCAAAGACATAATGCATAGACAAGACAAAGCTGCCTTAAGAGAGATACTTATTGCAAGTGTTATTTTTAGATGTAAACACAATGATACACATTTTTACTAACTAGTTCTTACACTCCTCAGGACACAGCTAGCATTTCAAAGAATTCTTTAGTCCTGAAAGCATATAGAGAATAGTAGCTTAGTTCTGCCATAAAACAGCCCTCAGATTTTAAAATTGCATAATGATTAATTCCCTCTTACCCTTTTGCTTTCTACTTTTTACTTCACAATACCGTGAAGTTAGAAAATCATGCATGATACCATTTGAAAGCTGAAATTCCAAAATTTCAGATAAATTTAGACAGCTTTCTAAAAGACACACAAAGCTCCAAAAATATCAAGTATCAATTAATTCCAGGAACAGGAAGGAAGGAAGGAAAATGGTAAGATTTCGCTGATAATCAGAAGTGTCCATCTGGGACTTGATAGCTCAGCTAATGTAGAATTTCACAGCCTTGCTTTAGTTCATACTAAACTTGAGTCACAAGTGGACAACAGGTTTTGACATATCTTTTAAATATTCTATGTGAAATTAATTTGGCGATTTCAGCCAACTTCTCACTGACCAACCAACCTACTGGCATTATCACTGACAACTGGGACTTCATACGGTGTCTCAGGAACAAGACCAAAGACAGTATGGACATAAGCACAGAGCTAGGACTTTCAGGTCAAAACTGAGTCATGATTGGGAGAGTTTCCACTCTCCCTATTCTCTCAACTGGCAATTTCAAAGCTGTAATTTCTAAGCTCTTAGAGCAATGAAGTTACCAGGAAAACTTTTGGTTTAAAATAGTATTAATGAATATTTTATGGCTGTGATAGACAGCTCTGACAAAAGCTACTGAATTCAACAAAAGGTTTTCCCGTGACTTCAATAGGTTCTGCACATCATCCTACCTATTGTTTATTTTTAAACAAGGAAAAACATTTATCTATAGATAGTTAACAAGATGTCTGAAAAGACCACTGGTATTTCAGAATCCATCTGTATCTTTTATCCTAAAAGCCAGAATATCAGATGAGGTTTTTACTGCTTACTGTCTTAGCAGTTATTAGGAACACAGGGGAAAAAAAAGCAAATCTGTGAAAATAAGGAATTCTACATACGCAAAAAACACTAATACTTAGAAATAATAATAATAAAAAAGATCTATGAACACTTACTCCTCTGCTCTGGAAAAATTTCAGTAGGATGCTGTAAACAAACAAACAAACATCAGCAAAAGTTCCTTAAAATATCATGCTACAGTTATTCAGAAACACAACAAAAAAAATCCTACCTTCATCATTGGCCTGGCTTGTTTGTCGAATAAGCCAGAAGGAAAGAGATAGGCAATAGCTTTCTGGGGGCAAAAAAAGAGAGATCACGTATGTAATTTTTTCCACAAAAGCATCATCAAAACATTTCTTAGGTACTTTCTTGTAGAGAAAAATAGCATAACTTTCGTACAGTAGGCAACCAAATCAGTAAGAAAGAGTGCTGCATATGTGCTGTGCTGAGAAGAAAAGCAGATCATTTCCTCAGAAATCCTCAGGAAAAGTAAAGCCTCATTCTGAAGGCTGTACTCTACTGTATCAGAATGAGTGAACTTTCTTCTGCAAAGTTTAGTTTTTATAGCATGCATTTATCATAACTTACTAGAACTACTCAAGTGCAAAGGCCACCTTTATAGACAGTGATTTTCCCTTAAAATTTCAAGTGCTGTGACTTCTGGAGGAAATCACAACATTTAATTCATCTTTCTGAAAATAGCAGTGCTTTTTAACAGTGCCTATTGACAGACCAAGCATAGAAATTTTATTTAAAGCAACTGGACAAAGTAAAGTTTTACACATTTAAAATCCCAGTTTCCACTGACATAGTTTCCTCATGTCTAAAAACAATGTTTTTTGTGGCAGTAGAAGGTATCTTACATAGCCTAGATAAGCACTTCACTGATCACTGCATTCAGAAACAACTGTGCATCCCTACAATCTTTGCTGAACTTGAACTAATTGCTCAGAGAGGAAAGACTCTTAAATGCCATCTTTCTTCTCCTTAGATACCTAAGGGTTTGCTAAAACAATTTAGAAAAATGTATGACATTCATTACACACTCATTGTTTACCACTGTTTTCACTAAGTACAAGGTACATCATTTGCTTTTACTTAACCAATATCTACCACTATTCACGTGATGTATAAAGTCAGTATTATTTGCCTCCAACAAATAAAGTAGATATACCAATATTCCAAATCTTTCTGGCAAAATGTAAGGCAAAGCACCTCACAAGGTTAAGCCCCATGACATGCATTGCGGTTCAACATCATCTTACTCTCCCTCTTCAACGTAACTAAAACATAATTTAATAAAGCAAAAATATGCATTTATGAGAGCTGTTTATTTCCATTTGTTTTTAAAAACAAAACAGAAAAGGCTAGCTGTCAAAAAATGCTAGATGTACAGGTCTGGCAAGTGTAGACAACTTCAGACAGTGAGTAGTAGAGCTTAAGATAGAAATCTTGTGCTTGTACAGTAACATGGACTAACAAACCCCTCTGGCAGCGGTCTTGCTTATATTTCCATTAGACAGTATGGAAAAGTAGAATTACAATAAAATCAGAGTTTAAAATCTTCTCTTAAGAAGAATGGCTCTTTGTTGGTTAGGCTACCTTAGGGCTATTACTTGCTGATAATTTTTTCCATGGACATGGAGTGGTTTGTCAGTGCTTCAACTGATTTAATATGCATAGAGTGTAAAAAGACCTAACCTATTACTTTCATTAATCCCCTACTGGCATTCTGAACAGAAATTTTGAGAATTCTGAAGCAAACAAAAGGCTTAACTTGATTTTATGAAATGGTAATTCTGTTTCTCTTAGTGACTACTGTATTCCCATTTGTTAGTCAATGGGCATTTTATGCATACACACAGTAGGTGAACACCTATTTATGAACAAATGGGGATTAATTATGATGACAATAGAGAAGTCTGCTGTGAGCCAAATGATGTTAAACAAACACCTTATATAACATATTAAAAGAATTTATTACAGGATACTGAGACTGACTGTGTATGTACTTAAGACATAGTCTTTATGCAAGCATTTCCAGAATCTCAGTCAGAACAGTTACTGTAACTATGACACCTTAATAAATGCCAAATATAACAATTTAACATTTATAATGAAGAGAGCGGCTGCCATCTGAGACCTTCTACTTCTAGAAAGTTTATTTTGTATTGCTTGAGTGTGTACTCATGTCTTTCACACTAAAGCATAAACAAACCCTGCATTAAGAAATCCTAACATCTACTTTCAGCTCTCCACACAACAACTAGCCAAAGAAAAACAGTTCACTTGATAAATTTGCTTTTTTGAAGTTCCAAAATGGAAAGAAATAAGAGTCTTCCTGCCTTTTCCCTTTTTATAGAAATGCAATCAAGGATGAGGTATTTGTCTTTACATCCTGTTAGGAACTATCCTGGGATGCACCAGACTCCAATTCAACTTTGATATTCAGAGTTTCTTCTTAATTTTAAGTAGCTGTGTCCTCAGACTGCACTTTTAGCAACTACATAGCAAGTCAGTCTGCCCCTTGTAAACTTCATTTATAGAAGCCAATTTTGTCTATGCAAACATTTTGGTTTTGTAGAAAAGGAGTATTTCGGAAAACTGTAATTCCCAACACCCATGTGTACTAGCAATAAAATAAGATGGTGGATCAACCTTAGGAATGACATCAGAATTAGTCTCTCCAAACTGCAGCTGGAGCACATAAATAACCATGAAATATTTTCCTGACATCTTTTGACAATGTCTTCAGAATTGGAACACAGGCTTCCTTTCAGGAATCTCCGTGTCTTAAGTAAGAATTCTGTAGAGAATTAACTGCACATTCTGCATTTTTCTTAACATACAAAAAGCAGGTGGACATTCCTCTTAAAACTTTATAATCAAAGTTTAAATGCTAGCAGTAAAGTTCCCAAGAAACCTTTTAGATTTAACTGCAGTATTTCATTCCAGGAGTGGTTTTCACCTTAAGGGTCATGGCCCATATCCTTCTAGTGCTTAATTTGACTTGAACTCCAGATGAGAAAGGAAATGTTGTGCTGAATATGACCAAGAACTACTTTCTTCAGGCCATCATTTCAGCTATACAAGATGCATTCACCCCACTCTAGCCCCCACAGGTTCTGGGCTGTTACTTCATAATTCTGTTTGTTAAATCACACTGTTGCCATTGTCTTTGGCAATAAACCACAACTTTCTAAAAAAGGAACATCCATAATTATTTTCAGCAGAAACACGATTAAAAATCCTGGGAATTCGTAACACAATGGTGTTTCCAAAAATAGCTACATAAACTACTGGAAAAAGGTGCAATGGGTACAGCCTGCTTCTGCTATGAGTTACTAAAAAAAAAAAATTTTAGCCACTTCTTTTCAGGATTTGAAAGTGTTTGTTTTTAAACTCTACTCTTGAGCCATGCAGCAAAAACAAATTTACCCACTAGTCACACCTTTAAAAATAGCAGATCATAATGAATACATTAGTAATAAGATGGTTTACGTTAGGCATTTCTTAAACTGCATTGATAAGCTTAACATTCCTGTAACAAACTAAAAGGAATCCTGTTATATCATCACTTGTTGAGGGACCGGATGATTCAATATACAGCCCACAGGACCACAATGTCTTTCACTTGCAGCTATAAGTTTGAATTCAAGCCAGTTGGAATAATGAGAACAAGCTTCCATCCCCATAAAAAAATTGTACCTGGCAGTCCTTCAAACATGCAAACCAATTCATTAAATAATCTGTCCAGCACTGCATGTGGCAAGTTGTGCAAATTCAGTACACCTGCCACACCCTCATCTTCCCTCTTCATTGACTATGTTGCACATGCTAACTTCTGATCCTCCTTCCCTTCCTACCTATATACAAGCCAAAAAATTTTGTTTGCTCACTTTCTCAAACATAGACTAACTCTGAATCAAACAAGTTCAGCTGGGTCCATAAGGATTTTTTTTTTTTCATGTCTGGAGAAATTAAGAATTCTGTACTTTAATTCAAATAGAGTTGACTAAGTCATGCTGGGATAAGGGAAGGAGACTGAGACAGTTCAGTCCTTAAAAAACTCGCCATAAGTAGGAAACGTTTGGCAGGGCAAATTGATCTTGCCCAAGTGTCTTCCCACACTTGTGTTGAATCTAGAGCTCAAACATAAAACATTCCACTAATTTTCATTGCTCAAATCATGTGTAAAGATAGTTATCTAAGTAACATCCAGTGAGGAAAGGTATTTTGTAGAAAACAAACAAACAAACAAAAAAAATCAAAAAACTTCCAACCTGGGGGTCCCCTGCAGCAGCATCTTTTTTGGCAGAGCACTCTAGAATCCAGCTCATTCCTTTTTAAACATACATGAAACTTTAATCATCAAAACACTGAGGTGAGAATTGACACTTTATGCCATGACATTTTAACGAAACACCTGCGCAATAGCCATTTCAGCTTCTACTCCTCAACTTGATCACACAAGAGCTACTTCCCTTAAACCTTGCCTCTTGAATCACATTATTTAGCCACTGTACTTCACCATTTCTCACACCGAGATGTTTGCTGGAACAGCTGTTTTTCCTCCTAACCACACTAGCAGTACTCTTTAAAATTTTTCAGCATCCAAAAATCCAAAATATTTGGGGTAGAACTAAGAATGAATGACACAAAAATGGGACATGAAATGTTAAGTCTGAAATAGCTTTTTTATGTAACAAGACAGAAAAGGTTAACAAAAAAAAAAAAAATCAGTGACACACCTAAGTTTACCTTGTAAAACAAAATCCTTCTTTAACAACTAACCACTAAAATTTACTGAAACCACCCCAATCATTTGTCACTATTTAGATAAAGCTGAATGCTAGCTTGGACAGAAAGAAATTTCAAGTTCACAGTGATATATCGTTTTAACCCAGTCACTTAAAAACCCAGGAGCCACTAGCATTATACGAAAAAAAACCCAACACCTTCCTTTAATATTACATTTTTATATTAACTAATCATTTTCAAAACAAAAATTAATGTCTTGTCCAGAGCTTGCAGAGAAAAAAAAGCCAAAAACCTGTTGAGAGAAAAAGTCATTATTTCTATCTTCATTTCAACTTTTCAAAACACTGAACAGTATTAAAAAGAGTAAAAAAAGAAAAAATACAGTAGTCATCAGTTCAGATGGACTTTGATGCAGTAGTAAGAAAATACTGATGCAGAGTTTGAGTGCACTAGAAAAAAAAAGCTGAAAACACCATTCTAGTTTCAACTATTTAAAAAATAATACAAAATCCAGTATTTCTTGTAAGGCCAATGCTGGACAGCATGCTCTTCTTGCAGACAACAGAAAGTTCAGAAATGCGTATTGCTCTGAATAATGTTTCACACATTTCACATGCAAATATTCACTCATTTCTAACACTTTGCGTTGCTAAAATTTGAATGTTATTTAGAAAGCAGATGTGCTGAGCCACTTTTAAAAGCAACTGAATACAACCTATTTTTCATTAACGAAGCCTTAATTCATTGAAAGAAACTATACCCTGTGAGGAATGAAGTTTTTCCGTGTTTAACATTTTCATAGTTAACATACTTACTGGTACTTTTGCAACAATATATATGCTAGTGAAGATAAACATATATTTTAGATTCAAATTATTCCATCTGCTTGACAACAATCTATTAGGTCATAAGGCAGACAAGAGAAAATGAACATAGATGTCTAGCTTTTGAGTTTTACTAACTCTCATGGG